AAGTTTAACTGACTTTGTGTTACACTGTGGAAAGTGTTTAAATTTGCAACCCTGTGAATGCTCCAGTTTTTTCCAGGTTCCTCTCATATCTTAAATCCATCTCATTATTTCCTATTTTTGCTTTTATTTGTTTTTTCCCTTGGAAACTTGTGTAAAGCTTGTTTGCATGGCCCTAAAGTTTATTATGAATACTTTAAGCACATGTATGAATGATTTTTTTTTTTATGTTAGTCAAACATTCTGATGTATTAATGCAGCTATGCATTTATCCACTGCACTAACAGATTACATCAAGTAGAATAACATCAGGCATTAGCTCTGATAACCATGTTTGTAGGGTTGATGGACGTGTTGACAGATGAGGTCAGTTTGTTTGCAAATGACACTGTGACCTGTAGTGAGAGTAGGGAGCAGGTGGAAGAGAGCCCAGACAGGTGGAGGTGTGCTCTGGAAAGATGAGGGATTAAAATCAGTACAAGCAAGATAGAATATGCGTGTGTGAATTAGAGAAAGGGCCAAGTGGAAAAGTGAAGGTAGATGAGTTTAAATACCTGGGGTCTATCATCTAAATCAAAGGAGTGGGTGGGGCGAGACTCAGGGAGAGGGTTCATGGACATAGTGACGAAGGGGTTGGGGTTGGATGTGAGGCAGGATTTGGTGAGCTGCAAATAACAGGAAGTGAATTACTGTTGTACTAAAACGTGTCTCTGTGCTGTGTGTTAATGCCAGCTGGGAATGGAGGACGAGGACGTCATCGAGGTGTATCAAGAACAGACTGGCGGACTTTGGAACAATTAAACCTCCCACATTTCTAAATCCTTTTATTTCTTCCTCCTCTTTTACTTATTTTGTATTTTATTTTGTATGTATGTACGTATTTTTGTTCAGTTTCAAACCATCTGGATCAAAACGGACTCAATTAGGGCTTCCATGTGTGTGTGGGCAGGCAGGCGAACAGGCCGAGGACATGGACCACCGGTTCTCTGAAGTGCAGGGATGAATTCAGCCCACATTTACCAAGAAAAACGTTCTTTTTCCTGCCTGTTTTTAATCATCCATGTAGTTATTTCAGAAGAAATAAATGATCCTATAATAAGCAGCTGCAGTAAAAGGATTAGTTCACCCAGAATAAAAAGGTTTGCTCTGTTACAGTTCAACCCTCGAGTTTCAGGTTTCCTTGTTAATCTCTATTTTCAGTACCCGCTGTTTTTTGTTCTGGGCCGATGACGGTATGGGATTTGATAGTTTGAAAGTTTGAGTTGATCTTCTTCTTTTGAATGTGCCCCACCTCTTTACCAAGATAGATTAAATATAACTCCTCCTGACAATAAAAGGTTGGAGCAAGCTGTCAAGTTTAGCAGGTCGGTTTGTTTCTGATCGTGCTGAAAATGCCCGATTTGAGGTCTTCTGCTATTTGCCTTCTATAATCCAGTAAACATGGATCTTTGGAGTAAAAAATTTTCCTATATCCTTTATATTTGTACACTACACAGTACATACACAAGCAGTTTATTTGGGTTATATTGGAAAGGAAACTAAATATTAGGGTTGTAGCCACCATGAGATCACCTGTTTTTTGAAGTTTCAACATTTCATCTGCTGTTATGTTTTTCTTTTTGAGCCAGAAGTGGCCGTATTTGGTCGATGGGGTGGAGTACCATATCCTCAGTTTGGTTAGGAAGCTGAAACAGATATGCTGTATTAACACCTGGCATTAACATGCGACCCACATCTGGTTGCTGTCACTCACAACAGCTCAAGTTATGATTGAACTATAATCATGATCATTTAATACAGTATCTCATCTATTTGTTTAACTTTTAAGACAAATCTTATCTATTTTTTTGTTAAAACAGTCAAATTAAAAAAATGCAGAATTTGGTTTTCATCACCAGGGGGCAGCGTTTTATTTCTTTTTAGTCCTATCACCATTTCCTCAGGGGCTTTCTCTGTTAAGAAAAATGTTTTCTTAATAATTTGTCTGACTAAACAAAGGCCACACTGACTCACTGCACCCATATTGTGGTAGAAACTGGTATAACGTCAAAGTACAGCTTAGCTCTAGTTCAGCCTGAGTTGACATCTCATAAACACAACACGCAGGACTTGTTTCTTTACATTCTGAGGGAGCTTTTGGGTAATTTTAAACACAATAATTTCAATTAACCACCTTTAAAGGGAAATTATGAGGCTTATGAAGCAGGCCACATGTTTTGGGGATCTTTCACTGTATGGAAAACAGACATGTTCAGCATCTGTTGGATGATTCTGTACGTGTGAAGCACCTGAGAAACCCACAAAAACCCTATTTTGGAGAAACAGGTGGTTGCTCATGTTTATTAGAAGCCATAATTCTGGATTAATTTGACAGCTGTACAGACCTCCCGTTTGTGGCTCTATACTTTCGTAGCACCCCTTGTATTAAAATGATTTATATTTTACAAATTAATGAGGCTGGGTCAGCCATCTTTTCGTCAGGCTTGCTTGAGCTGCGGTAGAGCCATTAAATATTTGTCCTTTTCAATTGTAGCTGAGATTAAAAGTGAGCTCACCTGTCGATGCCCGGTGTAAGCGTGGTGATAGTCAGGGATTTCTGGATGAACTCTTCCTTTTAAGCTTTCATTTTCATGTTTGGGGAGAAAAGAAACAGGTTAGACGTTTCATTCCACATGTTTTGTGTGACATTCAGGGCTCATAAACAGCTGGATTAGTGGACAGTCCATCATAAGAAGTGGACAACATAAGAGTTTATGTTGATCATCCTCCGTGTGCCATGTTTCTTAAACTGCACCATATTGTAAGATGATAATAACCAACCTGAAATGAAACTACTTCAGATTTGAACCCATTTTTAAAGGACTTGCTCTTTACGTGTATATGTTGTATTCAGTATTAGTGTGTGTGTGAATGATATGCCATGTATATCTCCAGTGTCTTTATTTTAATATGTTTGAGGGTTTCATTCTGTAATTATGTATGAAAATATAAACCTGTTATAGACACGTTTCAATCGCTGACAGTCACAGAGATTTTTGAAGTCCTCTGGCAGTTTTGTGCAAAGAAAGGTCTTCTGCTGTGGTGTCGGCGCGTGTTTTTAAAGCTTTGCTTTCCTGGTTTTGGAGTGAAACTCTTAATCTGTGTACTGTATGAAGTTCCTCCAGAAGGTAAACGCAGCCCCAGAGCTCTGGCTCACATTTAAATCAGGTTAAAGCAGCACCTCAGAGTTCATAGCAGGAAAAACAACGTTAAATAAAGTAATGATCAGTGGCTGTCATTTCCCAGAGGTGTGCATAAAAAAAAATAGGTAGATAAGATTTTCTCAACCTGGCCGGCTGTTTGAAATTTGTCCTTTTTGTGCATTGGTGATATATCTGCTCCACCCAAACTCCACCCAGACGTACAGGGCTGTTATTTGAGCCATAACGCCGATCTCGGTGAGGTGAAGGGACTGTCCGCCACTCGAGGAACATTGATACAGATGGTTTGAAATTCTGGAGATGAGCTTTTGGCTTTTTTTGAATAAAATATTTAAAAACAAAACTTAGGTGTGTTGCATGTTTTTGTGTGTGTGTGTGTGTGTGTGTGTGTGTGTGTGTGTGTGTGTGTGTGTGTGTGTGTGCGTGTGCGTGTGCGTGCCTGCTTTATGCACTTGTTGTAGTCCAATAATTTAAAGTGGTCCTGTTATGCTTTTCGTATAATATTTGTCCTGTTCCAGATGTTCATACTGAGCAGTGGATCACTGAACTCACTACATCCTTTAAGAGCCAGACACAAATTGAGCAAGCCCATTAGGAAATTCATTATGTCACAAATAGGCTGTGTGACTGGGTGCTTGATTTTATGGCAACAGTTCTTAATACCAAATAGGTGAATCTCAATACTTTTGTCCAGAAAGTGTAGCTGCACAAACTGATGAAAACAAATGTGTTTAATATCAAATTAAATGTAAAACTTACCACAATTAATAAGTCATTTTGCATTTTTCTTATTTTTATATTTCATTGTAATAATGAGGTTAAAATTTAATATTTTTATTTATACGCTTGAATTTTATTTTTATACTTTTACATTTTATAATTAAAAGAGAGTTTTTAGTTTAGAATTTTCAGTTGTATGAATATCTTTTTTTAAATAATTGTGAGTTTTGTAAACTTGGATATTTTTTTTTAAATTTTCTTTTATATTTATAATTTACACTTTTAAAATAGTTTGCACTTAGTGGGGATAGGTTAATTGGTTAATCCAAATTGCCCATAGGTGTGAATGTGCGAGTGAATGTGAGTGCGAATGGTTGTCTGTCTCTGTGTGTTGGTCCTGCGACAGACTGGCGACCTGTCCAGGGTGTACCCCGCCTCTCGCCCTATGACAGCTGGGATAGGCTCCAGCGCCCCCCGCGACCCTGAACAGGATAAGCGGACGCGAATGGATGGATGGAAAATAGTTTGCATTTTGCATCATGCTTACATGATATTTGTATTTATTGTAATTTAGCATTTTGTTTTTAGACTTTCTAATTTTAGGAATTTTTAAATTTTATTTTCTGCTTTAAATTTTTATAATTGCCATTTTCTTTATATCTTTAGTAAAAATATTTAAAATAGTATGCCATATTTTTTTATATTTTTGCATTTCATTTTTTTTTATAGTTTTCTATTTTAGTTTTTTACTTATTTATTATTTATAAAAAAATATTGCATTTTATCATGTACTTTATCATTTCCCAATTTTTAAAAAACATTTTATATTGTTTATTGTTGTAATTTACCTTGTACTGTACCAATGTTCTTTGTTTTAAGAATAAAATTAGGAACAAAAGCTTACATGACGAAAGCATGAAGGGAAGTAGAAAAGGTCAGATACTGACTGAGCAGAAGGAAACCAGTAAAAATCATTTGTATTTACAGTCAAGAATAAAATATTAAGAGGGTTAAATAGCAAACTGTTTTAGACCTTTGAAGAGCAGTGGTGGGAATTTTCCCGTTTGAGACAAAACAACCACATTCATCCACAGCACAGCTTACAGATGGGACACTTAGTGCCTTTCTTGTGACTCGTGTTTGTGTTTAATTTATTGATGAGCTGTTTTCAGAAATCTGCAGATTAAAGGTATCGCTGTACACATAGACCCCCGTCACAGTATTCTCACTTTCACATTTACTTCAGTCGAGGTGCAATAAAACATTGAAAATGTGACGTAATCTGAAAAGGAAGTGTAATAAAATAATTTCAGCACACAATAATTTATTCAGTACACTGTGTAACATTTACATTCAGCTATTTAGCAGATGAGCGTTATTAATGCATCAATGCAGTTTTTAAAGTAGCTTAACAGCTTTTGTCTATAAGGGGGATTTTTTGGCTCCAATTTTAAACCATAAGTTAAAGAGTTGTCTGTTTTGTAAGAAACATGTTATCTTCATTTTCCTGCTTCTCAGGCATATGAAGGTGAGGGCGTTATGGGTGTTTGCTGTCAGCAGATGAGTCATCCTCCTTGAGATTATAAAACTAGATGAGTCAGTGTAAACATTTGAGGAGTTAAAAGGAAGAAACGAGTGTAAAGTCTGTGCAAAAACCTTTTTTTTTTTGTCCATTTTATCACACACAAACTCCTCACAAGTGTTCCTGAAACTCAAATGTGGGGTTATCTTCCCCCCGGGTGTCATTTTCCTGGTGCACCTGCTCTCTCAAAGGCCTCTTTGGTAATCGGTATGTGCAGAAAATAATCCCAGAGACAATCATCAGGACCGATCCTGCCATCCCGACACCAATGCCGCCTCCCACGTGCTGAGATTCAGGTGCTGGGGGGAGTTTAAACTCGGGCGGGAACTCGATGGTCTGATTGGTCACCACAGCGCTCAGATTCCAGAGGAGAGGCACGAGCGATATCGCAGCAGCGAGGAGGCACAGCAGTCCCGTGAGGATGAAGCCGCGGCGGACCGTAGAGTTCTTACCTATCCCAAAGTAGACGATCCTCATGGAGTAAACACCACTAGCGTTCCCACAAACCCCCACCAGCAGAGACAGGAGCATGAGGACCTGACCTGCAGCAATCTCAGGTGGCGTGAAGGAATCGGTGAGCATGATGTACCTGCAGTACATAACCTTGAAGCCCTCGCTCACCACGGTGTGGCTGGCGAAGCAGACCCTCCAGAGTCCGACCCATGCCACACCGGAGGTGATCACCGCCCTGTCCGATACCTGCCACACCCTCCACTGGATCAGTCCAAGAGCCACGCCGGTGAGCATCCATCCCAAACATGCCAGCCCGAGAGCACCAAACTGGGCGTGGCCTGTGTGAGCCAGGTAGGTCATAGCAGTGGATTTCCTGATCCTACTGAAGGTGTCAACAGGAGACCGAACACAGGTGGAAGGTGGGCGATGTCACCTCTGTCATGTTTTACTCTTCTGTGCTCCAGCACAGTCTTGCTGTTGTTCTGTTCTCGTCTCACAAGTCGTCAGTTTTTTCCCTCCTTCGTCTCCTGGGTTACCTCCTAAACAAGCACCTGCAGCTCCCTCTGAGAGGAAAGAAACACAGACACAGCTGTTAGTGAGCAGCAACAAAGCACCATCAACAAAGACTACAGGGCAGCATTTCAATTGGACTGTCTTCCTCTTCACCATCTCAGTGCAGACATACTTCCTATAAATACCATATGTACTTCCTTTTTAAGTAGCCTGTAGGTATTTTTATTTAGTATCTCTGTGAAAATTCTTCAAAGTTATCTTAATATATTAGACTGTTAGTTTTGTATCCTTCACTTTTATTTTAAGAAAGATTGAAGTGTTAAATTGCCTGGACATATGTTGTTAGAAAAATGGCAAATGGACACAGAGATTTACCGAAACGTGCCCATGAATGCTTGTAAATACAGTATATAAGTTAAAAACAGAGTTTGTACAATTCTAACAAGCTTAAAAGTCATTATTTGGTGTGACCACCTTTATTCTTCAGCACAGTCTGAACTCTCTTAGGCAGCTTTCTTGCTATTTCTTTAAGTCGTCTTCAGGAATAGTTCTCCAGGCTTCTTGAAGGACATTCAAAGCTCTTCTTTGGATGTTTCTGCCTTTTGTTCTGTTCTCTGTCAACATGATCCCACACTGCTTCAATAATGTTGAGGTCCGGGCTCTGGGGAGGCCGATCCATGACTGATGGTGCTCCACTGTGTTTTTTGTCTATCCAGGTATGATTTTACTGCATTAGCAGTGTGTTTGCGATCATTGTTGCGTCATGAACAAGATCTCCAACACCACTGAAATGCAGCTCAAACTATGAAAGAACCTCCACCATGTTTTGTAGATGCCATTGTAATTTTAATTTGGCATAGCTCAGCCTTTTCTGTTTCTCTTCTCTTTCTAAGAATGGCTTCTTGACAGCCATCGATCCACTAGGACTGTTTCCTGTTTCTAAAGACGTCACTTTCAGATACTGTCCATCTGCTGTAGATACATAAAATCATAGCTGTTCTTTTGGTAACTTTAGTTCATTTATAAACTACAGACACCGATAAGTACCTTTGAATTTCACTGGGCCCCATTTAAGCCCACTGTTAACGTATGCAAATATGCAGTCTTATGAGCATACATGGTGAGAAACAGCTTTACAGTGTCCAGGTGCTGTTTTATGATTATTCACAGAGTTGTTTGACTTCCATAAATGAATTTGACAATGAAGCTAAACACACAGTTAAATGTACATAATGACCTATGTCATCTCTGTCTGGTTTCTGACACCAACTAAACTGCTATAATTTCTTTCTTTTAGCTTCCACTTTTTAAAGGAATTAACTGTGTTTCTGTTTCTAACAACTAAACGAGTTTTAGATAATGCTTAAAGGCTTTAAATACAACACCACAGACATTATGTGTATCTCGCTTTTTGTAATATTAAACTAAAACTAAAGGAACTTTCTACATGCTGGAAAAGAAAGAAAACACACACCATTTTCTCTCAGTATTGATGAAATGAACATTCAGCCCTGCAAATTACCCTCACTCATGTTACCGACACTTGTTCCTCATATCTATTATACACAGCATGTGATGAAAGCAAGTTTTGAAGACATCAGGTCATTGAAATCCATTAAAAAACTGCAGCGTTTAAAGAGAAACTCTTGGTTTTGTTACGTACCTGAGTGGTGCTTTCGTGGAACACCTCCCAAGTCGCCTTCAGAGAAAGAAAACCAGACTAAAACTGCCAAACAGGAAGGCTTTTTTCATTCACAGGTACCCTGCAGCACTTCCTCATCGTGCACCGGTAACCTAGATACAGCTTCTGGTCATGATTGCGAAGCTGTAAATGATTGACAGAATAAAAGTTTAGATGTAGCCGCTGTTACTGGTCAAGTCGTTTTAGTCTTTATGTCCTTTCAGATCACTTCACAGCTCTTTGTTGGGGCTTTTTTGTTATTTTTGAAATGTTCTGTCTTATTTAGGATGACTTGCAGATTTATACATACAGGGAAATTCATAAAGGTTTGTGCTGAAGTGTTTCAGTTCAGCTGTTTAAATGAGAACAATTCAGAGTAAAAATGTTTGCTAAATGAGTCTTTTAGAAGTGTAAATATGCAGCAAAGGTCTTGAGTCACAACAGTGAGTGTCTACAGCCATCTGTAAAACAAGGTGGAGGCTCTGTCATGGTTGGAGCTGCATTTCAGTCAGTGGTGTTGGAGATCTTTTCCAAAACGGATGAATTATGACTCAGAAAAGTCCCATTAGAATTTGACCCACCATGAAAAACTATCTGGACAGAATCTGATTGGTCACAGCTTCATTTTCCAGCATGACAATGACGCTGTGTCACAGTTCTTGTCATTTGCCTGTTTTTAAATTATGGTCTTTAATATTTTCTGTTGATTCCAAGTTTATGTTGTTATTTGCTTTATGTTTTGGGGTTATTTTTTTGTTTTTGTTTTGTTTTTTGCTTCCTGCTTATAGTTGTGATTATATTTTCATGTAGTTTCCATTCTCTTGTGTCACTTTCTTTGTATTAAGTTCATTTGTATCTGCATTTCCCCGTTTTACTCTCTCTTCTCACTTCCTGCTTTGTAAGATAAGATAAGATAAGATACCTTTATTAGTCCCACGAGTGGGAAATTTCTTTATTTTGATAGTTACTTCATGTTAGCTTCAGTTTGAACTTATTCTTTGTCAGCACGTTTTGGTTTTCCTCCCCATGATATTCTTAGCTATTTTTGTATCTGGTTCCCACTCTTGTGGTTTTTCTTGACTCCTTGGATTTTGCCACTTTTTCATACATGTTTTTCTTTTGGACTGTTTCCTCGGTTGTTTATCAAAGGTATGCTTAAAGTTTTTCATTTGACCTACCAGTAATTTCAGTCTGCGTTTAGGTGTCCTCTACTCACACACATCAAGAGACTTGGATTGGCCTCCCCAGAGCCCGGACCTCAACATTATTGGAGCAGTGTGGGATCATGTTGACAGAGAACAGAACAAAAAGCAGAAACATCCAAAGAAGAGCTTTGAAGCTCAGACTTTGCTGAAAAATAAAGGTCAGCATACCAAATATTGACTTTCAAGCTCAGTAGAATTGTACAAACTTTTTTTTTTGACCCATATACTGTATTTACATGTATGTTTGCACATTTCAATAAATCCTGCACTTATTTCCCATTTTCCTTGCAACATATAAAGAAATGAGGGATGGTTAAAGAATTTTGCGCATTACTGTATCTCCTAAGCATAGCACCACACTGATCAGTACCACTACTTGAACATTATTATTCTCTTCTCTTCCCTTTAAATATATTTTAATGACGTGGAAACATGATGAAGACGATGATTTCTTCTGTTTAATGGAGGGGAGGTTTAATCCAGAGCCTTTCTCTTTCTGTTCTCTTTCCCAATAAGAAGAGAGAGATCAGAGCAACAGCAGGGAGGACTTACAGTAAAGTCGAATCTCTGGGCTTGGCTATAGCAGTGACTCATTCACAGCAACATTACTGACCTTGAACCATCCCCTGGCTGTGCTGTCTTACACTCAGGCTGACTTCCCATGATGCACTGAGATATTTTCCTCCACTCCTTTACTGCAGGTCGTTAACTCTAGCCGACTCTCTCCTGAGTGCTTTGTCCTGAGTTTTTTGTTGGTGATCTCTCAGATGGCCGTCCCTCCCTGTGACTGCTTCTGTTCTGTTAAAAAGGAGTTCTTACTCCCTGCTGTCACCAGGTGCTGCTGATTATTGAGGTTTCTTTCTCATATGTACCTTACAGTATGAAGCTTGTGCAATGTGCTATAAATAAAAGTGAACTAAGGTGAAGGGGGTCTGGGAAGGAGAAAAAAGCTCTGATCCCTTAGAGACAATAAAAGACAGGAGTGGCTGTGAAACGTCACGGTGCAAAGTTATAAAAATGGATAATATATAATATCTGAAACACTGAGTAAACAACAGATAAAGACACCTTCTTTTTTTTGCCTGGTTATGGTTTCTGAATGACAAACTTCTCTTCACCTCTGCTTTACCTCAGCCCAACCAAAACAAACAGAAACAACATGTGACTGTTTCAAAGGTCAAAACCAAATATCTTTGTTATTTAAATATTATCGGTGCCTTACTAATCTTTTTATTCACAGGTAATCTGACACAGCTATCAGATGCTGCTTTAAAACCTGTAACAGGAGCCCAAAATGCTGCTTTAAGTGAGTCACTTGTTTTTTTCCTGTACGCAGGAGTGTGCAGACATCATTACTCATGCACACAGCCGATGATAAAACATGCCTTTCCTCTAGTGCCACCAAACAAGTTCAGTTTAAGGTATGTTTAAGTACAAGGTGTAATTGTCAATTGATTGCTACAGTAATAGTTAAATCCAGTTATTTTAATTTACATTTTTCCCTATTTTCATGCCCATCGATCTTCTAAGTGCTTACATTTAATGATTATGTTCATATTTGTGCACATATGTGATGAGTGTTCAGATCTTTACATAGGAAAGGCTGAACAACCATTCTTAACATACTGTGCTGTGAAAAAGTATTTCCCATTCCTCATTTCTGATTTCCTCCTGTTTTTTGTGCATATTTGTCACAATTACATGTTTCAGATCATCAGACAAATGTAATATTAAACAAAGGTACCCCGAGTAAACACAAAATGCAGCTTTCAAATGATGTTTTCATTTCTTAAGGGAAAAAAATTTATTTAAATCTGGCCCTGTGGGAAAAATCTTGAATTTAATGGTGATTAACCAAAACTGAGTTCAGTCTCACTAAACACACTCAGGCCTGATTACTGTCAAACCTGCTTAAGTTAGAAATCACTTAAACAGAACCTGTCTGACCCGCCGACCACAATTTAAAGAAACAAAGTCAGTGGCATCTATCACTCTGGAACAGGTTACAAAACCATTTCTAAGGTTTTGGGTCTCCAGTGAAACACAGTGAGAAACATTATCCACACATGGAGAAGACTTGGAACAGTGGTGAATCTTCCCAGCAGTGACCGACCTTCCAAAATTACTCAAGGAGGTCACATAAGAACCAGAACAACATTGAAAGAACTGCAGGCCTCACTTGTGTCACACATTCAACAATAAGACAGAGACTGGACAAAAATGGGGGAGAGTTCAAGGAGAAAAACCACTGCTGACTAAAAAGATCACAAAGGCTCGTCTCACATTTACCAAAAACATCTTGATGATTCTGGAACAATTGAGTTCTGTTACATCTGACATAAAACCAACAGCGTTTCAAACAAAGAACATCACAGCAACAGTCAAACATGGTGGTGGTAGTGTGATGGGGCTGCTTTGCTGCTTCAGGACGACTTGCTGTAACTGATGGAATAATGAATTCTGCTCTGAAGGAGGATGTCCGACCATCAGTTCAAGACATGAAGGTTTTTGGAGTGACTGAGTCAAACTCTGGACTTAAATCAGATTAAGATGCTTTGGTATGGTGTTAAAAAGGCCGTTCAGATGGAAAACCCTCCGATGTGAGTGAAGAGGACAGGGCCAAAATTCCTCTGCAGTGATGTCAAAGGTTTATTGACAGGGATCACAAACACTGGATTGCAGTTCTTGCTGCCAATGTGGCACAACCAGTTATTAGGTTTATGACACACTTACTTTTCCCACACAAGTAGGTTAGGCTTTTTCCCCTTAATAAATGAAATGATCATTTAAAAACGGCATTTTTCATTTATTCTGGTTATCTTTGTCTGATATTAAAATTTGAGAGAGGCATTAAGAAGGCCATCTGCAAATAGCAAACATGAAGTGTGAGCTGTACATGAGGCTACCGCAGGCACATCTTCACATGCTTACTTCTTACATCGGCCTCCACAGAAACACCAGCAGTGTCTCAGTCCTTTTACTCGGGAGAGCAGAAAATCAGTCACTATTTATGCACTGCTGTATCGAAAACAAGCAGGAGGAACATTAGCATTGTGTCATGAGAAGATAGTCCAGTTTTTATCAAATTCACCCTTTATTCTGGCATAAATAAAATAGCTTCACTCTAAAATGAGATGTGCATCACATGTAAAAATAACATCTGGACAGCAACAGTTTGTAATAGAAGAATATTTTCCTCAACAGATCGTAACTCTTTTTACCATTTTGGATTCAAACATGTTCTTTCTAGTCTTATTAGACAACAAAAAAGTATGTCATGAAATTTTTTTTTAATTAAACAACTTGCCTTCTTTCTTTTTTTTAAGAAATGATTTTCACTGGGTAATCCAAGTTGAAATATTTGCTGAGCAGTTATGTGTTTCTTTACATACATTTCCAGACAAAGCTTTACAATAAATTACTATGAAATATTACCTTAAAAACATAAAACATACGTGACCCAGCCACTTTCAGCAAGTTAAATAAAAAGAACATTAGAGGGGACTGGAAACACTGCAGGGTGAGCAAAGTAACAGCGTAATTCGGTTTTATGAGCTTTGGTTTTACGAGGTGCAAAAGAAACGCAGCTTTCATACGGGGAATGAGGAAAATATCATAATTCACGTGTGGTAGCGGTTCTATGTATTAAACTTCACAAGGGTCTAGATAAAGGCTCAGTTTCATAGCTTAGAAAGGCTTCACACAGCGAGCAGCACTACCAGCATTTAACACTCAGTGTAGAAATATGCATGTATTAAAACTCACCCTTACTGTGATATTACTTGATAAATATTGGCTAATAGGTGTTTAAATAGTGTGATAAAATCATAGAGTTGGTTCACTTTGTGCTGGTTTGCTTTACTCCACAAAACAGACAGGGGGCGCAGCTCTTCCACAAAAAGCTGTACTTTGAGTTCCTTGCATAGACTGTATATAAAAGTTGGAACAGGAAGCCGTCACTGCAGTACCTTAAACTTGCATTTTTTTAAAAATAAAGGCCACCAGGGGGCGATACCTTTAGTTTAAAAAGACTTCCAGTTGTATAGGGGGCTAATAGTAAAGAGATCTTTGTGACCAAAGTAAACACTTACTTAATTATTCAGTTACTGTTTTCAAGTCTTTTTGAATGAAACGTGACACACATGGCAACCAATCAGATCAATCACCAAAGACCTATTCACATGAAGCCGCAAAGTTTTCTGTGCAGCTTGATAAAAATATTCCACGATATCAGTATTTCACTCTGGGTCACAAAGCCTGTCTATTGAGAGGACAGTCTACTGACACCAATGACAATCAGAAGAAGACATGCTTGCGGTCACCATTTTGTGGGCCACTGGGGCTCCTATTTTAATATAAAGAAGTGTGGGCTTAATATAAAGACAGAAAAAAAGGGAGGGCTGGGGAAAAACTGAAATCATACAAATTCATGTTAAATTCTGCAACCATGTCTCTGTAACTTGGGCCCAGTTATTGATTGCACTCCTCTTCCTCTCTGTAGTCACATGAGTTTAGTGTGAGCATACCATTGGCTAACAACTTGTCAATCATGAGTCATTAGCCAATGGGTGTACAGTGTCTTTGATTTCTCTGTCAAGTCCAACCCTCTGTCAACACGTCTGCTTTTGAAGCACAAAGACTTTGGGCTCAAAATGTGGTCATAAATATTTTGTACTTGTAAAAAAGATTTGTGCGTGCGTAAAAAAGATTTGTGTGTGTAAAAAAAGATTTGTGTGTGGACTTAGCCAAAAAACCCCTGCAAGTTACAACTACGAATTTTGACCCTATTTTTCTTCCTTTCATCTGATTGGTGAATGTCATGTCAATCACAAATGTAACAATCCAATCAGAGAACAGATGGGTTTGGCTGTCGGAGGGGCGCTTCCTTTGAACTGCAGGTCTTTGAAGGGAATAAATGCCCTTTTACATGCCAACCCAGCGTTTTCCTTCATCACCACGAAGGAAAACAGTCTGTGGTCGTCCGAGTTTGGTGATTTAAATGTCACAGGTCTACGTGTTTAATACAGGGACTTCCACAGCCTTTTCAACAGCGCTGCAGACGCAGGGGGGGCAGTGTTTTGGAAATGACAGTCTTCATTACAAAGCTTTCTTCGTTATGAATTAGCATACATGTTTTTATTGAACATTTGAAGAACTAGCAAAAAAAACCCCCACAAACTCTTGTAGTTCACATAAAGTCAGAGATAAAAACAACAAGGAGCAGGTGCATCTAGTACAGGCAGAGCTGCTGCAAAAACCCACAGAGCCCAGCAGCCAGCAACAAATTCTGGATCCTTTGCTTTTAGTTAGCATTAGCATTAGCAGCACATCCTGCGTCCAATGTGAAAGGACTTTTATGCTGCGCACTGTGACTCACAGCAATGGTCCTGGGTCAGCCCTGACATTGTGTTAAACTAATCCTAAAGTAATAATGTATTTCTAACCACTGACATACCACAACTTTATCCTTTCAACAGCTGCTGAAAGTAAAGGGACCTAACTGCTATCAGATATTTATATAGAGATTACCCTTCAAGGACCTGCAGTTCAAAAAAGCGCCCCTCCGACAGCCAAACCCATCTGTTCTCTGATTGGATTGTTTAATTTGTGATTGACATGACATTCACCAATCAGATGAAAGGAAGAAAACTAGGGTCAAAATTCGTAATTGTAACTTGCAGGGTTTTTTTGGGCTAAGTCCACGCACAAATCTTTTTTACACATACAAATCTTTTTTACAAGTACAAAATATTTATGACCACATTTTGAGCCCATAAAAGACACCAAAAAATCTCAAGCTAAGGCTTCATAAGCGAAATTCGCTAACCAAATGGTGACATTGTGGTCCCCCATCTTTTATATACAGTCTATGGTTTCTGGTTTCATCTTTATTTGTCAGCCTCTGCTTGGGTAACAAGTAATGTTCTGACACTCTGAGCCCATTTTGCCAAAAGGGGAGTTCTGATACAGCACCTGCACGCAATAATGGTTTCATCTATTACTGACTTTAATTAAGTCTGTTAAGCAGCAAAATAATGTGAGAAATAGACCAAAGCAGAGAGGTATCTTGCCGCCCTGTATGTCCAAGACAAACATGCCTGGCATGATTCCACTAATCAAATGACAACACATTTGTGTTCTTGTCAAATCCTTCTGAGTAAAAAATGACCATCAAAAACACCCCACAGTTTTAAAGTGGACCTGTTATATGTGCTCTATGTTTATGTTCATACTACGTATGGCCATCCCTGTGGCCCAAAAGATCCAAACACTCGGTTTTGGACAGTTTTTTTCTAGTCTTTGCTTTAAATTATGTCGTGGAGAAGTCCCACCCACTGTTTACGAGGGGCAACCAGTCAGACATATAGAAGGTAAAACAGCTGTTGTCGTGCTGCACCAGGGCCCAGAAAAAAGGAACAATTTTAACCTGTGAGTCATGTGAAGCTACTCTATGAGAGTCCAAGAATCACAATAAGAGCTGGAAATGAGCAGTGGTGGTCCACTCTAAGCTGTTTAAGGTGTAACTGACTAATCCTGGTGTCTGATTTGGTTTCTGAGGCTCCTCAGTTTGGTTTTAACAAACAACAGCAACTCCACCAGCATCAAATCTAGGCTGAGGTCATAAACTCACACGCAATTCAAAGATGTTCATATAAAAATGCTACATGGTTCATCCTCTTGTCTGATTCAGAGCAGTGGCCTCTGCTCTAGTGGCAGACTGTCCATCAGGCACTTCAGCTGCTCCTCGCCCAGCTTGATCTTATCTTCCAGCTTGCGTTGCTCGATGATGAGCGCAGACTTCATCTTCACGAAGTGCCTGTAGTCGTCCAGGCTCTCCATGTCCAGGTGGGCCTCCATGATGCTGGACACCAGTCGTTCCCGACGGTCCAGGTTCTCCTTCAGCTCCTTGGCGTCTTCGTGCTGCCGCATCAGCAGCTTTCGCTTCTCAGTCAGGGTTTGCTGATGGAGGACAGATATGAGTTATTAATCTAGAACATCATCTATGGATCATGTAACCACATTAAACCTGCTTAGTGCAGCAAAAACAGTAAAACAGAAAACTTCTTAGGAAGCAGTTACGTATTCACACAATCCAGCATTCATTAAGCTAGATTATTCTTCATTTAGAGTCCTAGAGGTAAATTGGTGGAGACAAACACAGTTAAAGCCAGCTCCTGAGGGAACTATGTGCCATATCTGCTGCACTGTAGATTCATTACCTGAATTTAATTCCAGTTATGATTTAAGCTGCCAACAACAATAATGTCATATGATTATTCTTTTGCATTTGTCTTTTACTGCAGAGAGCTCATTTCATAACAGCAGAGAGGTACAGTACTGGGCAATTTCTTTGCATTTGTTAGAAAAATAGGAAATATATGGAGTGATTTATTGAAACATGTGCAAACATACATGTAAATACAGCAGATAAGGCAAAAACAGAGTCTTTGTGCAATACTAAGAGCTTGAAAGTCAATATTTGGTGTGACCACCTTTATTCTTCAGCACAGTCTACTTTCTTGTCATTTCTTTAAGTAGTTTTCAGGAATAGTTCTCCAGGCTTCTTGAAGGATTCAAAGCTTAGGATGTTTCTGCCTTTTGTTCTGTTTTTTTCTTTGTTTTTGTTTTATTTATTTATTTTTTACATCAGGTCAGGTACAAGGACTAAAGTAAAGGACTAAGTAAAAATGAGTGAAGCCAATATCCAGAATGACCTTCAGAAAGCCTGCTAAACCCTTCAGAGAAAGTCTGGATCCCTGGAAACAAAATGTAAAGAAATGTGGGTTGGCTCAAGACTTTTGCACAGTACTGTGAACTAAAATGTTTATACATTATTAAGGTACACATACATACATTATTAAACTACACGTTTGGCATCCATGGACAAATACAGTGTTTTGTATGTTAAGTGAATTCAATTAGCATTTTTTATGAACATAAACAGAAGGTAAAGATTGTTTTACTGTACTGTTGTTATTGCAGCTGCTGTTCTGTCACTGGGCTTCAGGAGGGATGATTAAATAGATTAGCTCAAAGCTTTTCATCTTTTTCAGACGTGTTCATATTTGTAAACTACAAACAATAAATGTGCTGTGAAATACACATAAACAAAACTATAAAATTAAGAGCTAAACAAAGTCCTAAAACTTAGTGTAAACTTCCATAAAGCTGAGGGAAGCAGTCGATTTGGTGGACAGTGTCTGGGGTTACCTTCTCTTCTGGTGGTGCTTCATCCTCCAGGCTGTTGAGGGCGTTCTCCACCCGGGCAAGCCGGCCCGACAGTGACAGCAGCAGGCTCACCACCTTGTCCAGGTCTCCCACGAACATGCGGAACTTGTCGAGCTGGTTGGGCTGACAGACGCGCTGCACGATGGCCTCCACCTCACGGCCCAGAGCCTCATTGTCCTCCACATCCTCCTGCAGGCTCTGCCTTGCCTCCCGGAGCACCTCCAGCTTTTTCGCAAGGCTGGAGATCAGCTCTTGCTGAAGTTGATGAAGTAGACACATAAAAACAATCCATTTACTACTTTAGGATGGCAGAATGGCATGCATAATAAAACATAAAGTGGGCATATTTTACCTTTTTATTGACCAAATCAACATCCAGCTCATCCTCTGAGTCTTGCTCCTCCAGCTGCTCCTGCATGTCCTTCATCTTGATGAGGAGCTCAGCTTTAGGAGCGGACGTGTTATAGTAGGAGGAGCTGGGGACTAGTGAGGCGGCTGCTGATACAGACACTTCCTCCTCCTCCCTTCTGAAATGCACAAGGACAAACACAAACACTCTGACGCAACTTTTACTGACACTGCACGTCTGCACCCAAAATCTTCGAAGTCCTCAACTGGAATTCTTCTGGTGATGACACCAAAATATAAAAACATTCGGTATGTTCAAGCGATCATCAGTTCAAACAATTGAACTTAAGAAAAGTTATTTAGATATGTCACAACTTTGTAAAAGTGTGGATAAAGACACAAGCTGTCATCCTCAGATGAGAGGAAATCGGTTAGGATATTCAGGAACAACCCAGAAACCACCAAGGCTCAATCCTACCATGAACTGGAAACTGATGAAACACCAGCATTACTGTCCACAATACAGCCAGTTTTACATCGTCATGGATTGAGATTCAAGATTCAAGAGGGTGCTGACCAGGAAATCTGACAAATTAACACCTTTAAGCTCGAATGAAATCTTCCCAACCCAAATGTCTTCTAGAGAAATGTTTTATAGTCAAACAAGACAAAGTTTGAGCTGTTTGTCCACAAATACAAAAGGTATGTTTGGAGGAATAAAGCTGAGGCTTTCAAACCTAAGAGCACTGTACCAGCTGTCAAGCATGGTGGTGGTAGCATCATGCTCTGGTGCTGTGTTGGTGCTGTGTTGGTGCCAGTGGTGCGTTGCACAGAGTGGATGGAATAATGAAGGAGGAGGAGGACTACCTCCACATTCTTCGACTTTATCTCAGATCAACAGCTAGATGGTTAAAACTTGGACACAGTTGTTTCAACAGGACAATGATCCCAAACACATCAAAACTGGTTTTGGATGGATAAAGTAGGCTAACATTAAGCTACTGGAACAGCCTTCACAAAGCCCCGACCCCAAACCAATTTCTGGACTACATTTAAAAGCTTGATCTGTGCTGGAAATAAACCTATTTAAATTAACTACAAATTCTGACAAGAAGAGTGATCGACTATCAGCCAGAATTATACTAGAACCTGCATCATTCCATGTTTGGCACTGATCACCACCTGCACTCATGTATATATCATGTATATATCTATCCACTTAGCACTTTTAATTCTTATTCTTATTTTTATATTTTTATGACAGTATGTTGCACTGAAGCACCGCAGCAATTTCCTAATGTTGTAAACCTGCTCAACATCTGGCAATAAACCCTTTCTGATTTCTGATGGCTACCTAAAGCATTTGATCCAGGGACAACTTGTTAAGGGATATTTTACCAAAAATGGTTGGAAGTGTAGGTTTATGTTTGAGCTTTAATGTATTTTTTGTTGAGTTGTTGTTTTTAAAGTCATTAAAGATATATGCTGTACAATGATTCCATCCCTGAAAGGAACAGTTCAAAGAAATCCTTTAAAGCACCAAATTACCATGACATTCACACCCATGATGAGTGGATAGAAACTCCTGACCATAACTGCATTTTATTAGTATAGGAAAGGCCTTTTGCCACAAATAGCTTTAAAAAGTAGCCAGCAATAGTCTAGACAAATGTGTTTTTGTCTACTAAATGTGATTTTGTACAACATCCTTCAATTATGTTGGCTGACTCTGTTATTTGTTTTAAGTGAATGCTAAAAACTCATTTTTATAGGTTAGTGTTTTCTTAATCTGTTCTCCTTCATTTGTTGTTATAGTTTGAAACCATGCATGTATAGGGCTGTTCGATATAACGATATATATCGGATGACGATATAAAAACATCTATTGCTTCATTTTACGCTATGGTTTGTTTCGTGGTGTCGCAAAATAAACTGTTTACGGCAATATTTTTTCATCGTTTTGATGGTCACTGTAGTGGCTATATTAATTTCTTAAAGTTCTCTCTTTCTCTTATATTTAATATAACCACACTACTGACGGACAAGCGCCTGTCTTTATGCTTTGTGGTTACAGCATCGCGTGTCCGCTTGTTTATGTTCCACATAAACCTTTCACAATAAAGCTCAAGATCCTGTTTAGACTTTTCAAAATAAACTGAATCACGTGAAAAAGCAGATTATTTACGGATGAGAAGCAAAAAAGAGCCACCAGGTGTTAAAAAATAAACCTTAGACTCAAACGTTAAAACAGGCTTTTCCCCGCAGCACGCTGTGTAATAAATACTCACAAAGAAAAGAGCAGCTGTTACAACTTATGTCTAAATATGTATAGTTTCATGCATCGGTTAACTCCAGCTACATGACGCGCAGCTGGAAACACTTCCCGCAAGACGAGCTGCCCGAGATTCACAGAATTTACAGAAATGTGGATGAATCGAAATTGCAACACTTGTCCACCAGAGGGCAGGCTAGTCTGGCAAATGGAAAATCAGCCTTGCAGTGGACGCTTCATTCTCCAGCAGTTCACTTTTATACCTGGACTCTACTAGGGTAGCTTTGCATGATTACAGTTAGAAATAATTGTAATTTATCTCAAAGTTGGACTCAGATTATCCTCTGTCTGAAACACACTGTTTAATCTCCTCAATAAGCTTGTTGAAACAGCTGTTATCTTGTGTGTAAAATCAGCCTTTCTAGATCCACTTACTGTTACTCCAATCACAAAATGCACATTTTGAATAGAAAGGTTTCATTTTAAATGTTTCCTGCTGCAGTGTCCCACCTGTCTGTGCTCCTGGGGGACGATGTGAGCAGTCTGGATCCAGCTGAGGCCTTCCTGCGCTGCTGGGCCCCCTCCAGGATCTCCTCCTCTGGTGGGAAGAGCCCCTCCATCAGGTCCATGGTGGTCTTCCTGCCACTCTGGTCCAGTATGTCCACCAGAGACTTGTCTTTACCCATAATGTCCCTCACCAGCTCCTCTCTCTTGGCGTCCTCCTCTGAATGTTGGGGCCCAGGTGAACTGGTCTCGGGGGCTGACTCCTGTGCCGCCTGGCGGTTGTAGGTGCTGAACCGAGATGAGGACAAGCGCTCCGCGGCGCCCAGGGAAGGGATGCGTGGTGGCAGCTCGGACAGGCTGCAGGACCCGCTGTTCTGACGCAGGTAGGCTCGACCCTCGCGTCCTGTGCTGCTCTCAGCGTGAATGATCCTCACGGGGACTTTCCTCACCTGACCGCTAACGTCCATCACTGCGGGGCGCTTTGATTCGCTATCTGACCTGAAAAAGAATCACAATAGGATCAACGCTGGAAAATGTACGTCTCCTCATCCTTTTTTAAATTTTTCGTTTGATAATGTTTTAAGCACTAAATCACCCACATCATTCACCCACCAGTCTTAATATTAACATTAGTATACCTGTAATCATTAAAATTGACTGTCACGACCTTTATTTAGAGATTCTTGTGTGACACAGTGTGGTATGTAGTTTTCTTTATCGTTCCTGTCACTTTTACTTCATCCCTTTGCTCTGTTCCTCCTCTTGAACCTGTGCCCAAGTGGCCAGTAACCAAATTTACATGCACAGATCAGGTCAGTCTGGAGGGGCCTTAAAACTGCATGTTTTCTAACAGCCAGCAGGTGGCGACTCCTCTGGTTGCAAAAAGTACTCTGGTTGTATCGCAGTCTGTGTGCCTCTGATGTCACCAAACACTTTACTGGAGACTTTTTGGGCTCAGTTCCTGGTTTCAGGTAATATAGACACAGAGTTTATTTTGTAAACCATTATTACTGTTGTGATAAAATAGAGCATGCTCAGTCGTTAGCTGGTGACAGTCAAACAGTCAAGCGCTGAGCTCAAGGCCTGTACAGACAAAAGGGTTTGGGTGGCTACTTCCATCTTTCACATACAGTCCTTGTATCTGTTTCCCCTGTGTGCCCCCCCACCCCCACCCCCAATTACCAGATCCTTTATTACACTTCTTTATGTTTAGCTTTCCAGGCATTTTACTACCAAATTCGAAATTGTTTACTGACTCTACCTTTTTGTTTGGTTTCCTCTCTGGCACCTTTAAATTAGTTTGACTTTTATTCTCAAAGACTAAAAAGAAATCTGATGTTACAAATCTTCCATGTGAGAAGACATGGCTCCAGGGTAGACTGAAACAATATTTCAGGCCAGAAATTTGATTCCATCCCAGGCCTCAGAGACTGATTTCCTGGTGGCCTGGTGGTGGTTTTGGTCTGCAGTGAATGCTCGACTATAGCAAACACGAGCGAGCTGACAGACCTCTGAGAAACCATACATCGAGTATGATTGTCAAACAGTGGTGAAGGAGACCAAATGAAATCTCCTGTGGAAAGAAGCAGAGCAGCCATCTACGAGCAGGACTGGGATGAGGAAGAAAAAGGTGGTGCCTGGTGTTTCTTCTTTTTCCACCTCCTTTGATCAGCTTAAATGTGTCTGATCTGCGAGATTACTTTTAAGTATTTCAAAATAAAGTTCACAGAGGCGGAGATACAAACTTAACCTCTGGGGGGTCCTAGAAAAATGCATACACTATTGGGCTTAGAGCCACAAATCGACCACGCCATGAAAAGTGCTATAAAATATCTATATATTAATATTTTTTCCACTTTAAATTAGCCAATCTTTTAGACCTACTTCTCCTTGAAATATTCATATCAAGTTTTAATTACATTTCGCGGATTTTAACCCTTTATATCCCGGTTTCGTCACATGAGCGCACTGCTTTTTTAGCCCCAAAAAACAAAGAAATCAAATATTTCCCAAAAGATACAATTCCAAGGCCCGGACTCCCGAGTACCACCAACATTCGGAAGATGGCCCATTATTTGGTTGTAATGACCGTGGAATGGGAAATAGCGTTTATAATGGGTTTCAATGGGGCACAAATCGACCACTAGGACCAATAGTGTAAGTTTATCTGTAGCTCAGCCACTGAAGCTAATTTAAGGGAGACAGACTCGAATTTTGAAATATATGTAACCAGACTTTTTTTTGGAAAAGTTGGCTATATTCCGTTCAACACAGTGCAAATGGCGTGTATACGAACAATGAAAAATGGCACAAATCGACCCAAGACCACCCAGAGGTTAAAACACCAGGTGAGGCGAACAAACCAAAAGACAGAGCCCGTAAACAAAACAGAAAGTCATACACGAGGTGGTCAACCATCAAGAAACTAACACAACAACAACACACACAGAAGTTCAAGTCTGAAGGTACAGCACTGTGCAAACCTCAATATTTGGTGTGACCACCTTTATTCTTCAGCACAGTCTGAACTCATTTCTTTAAGTTGTCTTCAGGAATAGTTCTCCAGGCTTCCTGAAGGTTCCAGGCCTTTGCTTGATTTTTTCCTGTTTCTTACAGACACGACTTTCAGATACTGTTCATCTGCTGTAGATAGTTTTTAGGCCTGACGCTTCTTAATTTTGTCCTCCATTTGTCCAGTTTCCTCATTTTGTTCAAGGACTCACTGCACATCATGCTGAGACATGCCAATATTTCTTTGGGAATCAAATAAAATACTATTTTATATCTGTCAAACTGTGTTATGTTTGACATTTTTCATAAATTGAATAAAGAAATTATTTTTAGGTCAGCTTTAAATAGCTTGACCAATATAACTCTGAAAATGGTCAGGTACAAGAACCAGACTGAAAATGAGTGAAAAAAATCAGCCAATTACTTTCAGAAAGACTTGAGAACTATTACTCAAAACCACTTTAAAAAATAACAGGAAAGTCTGGCTGTTTGGAAGCAAAATATAAAGAAATGAGGGGGCACAGTGCTTTATAACAAGAAAGTGTGAGTCTGTTTATGAGTCTGTTGTGGTCAGTGCCGTCCTCTCTGCTGCTGCATGTTGTGGCAGCAGGTTGAGGGTCGCAGATGCAAGGCCAGTAATGTTGTGGGGATGGAGCTCGGTTCCCTTAAGATGGTGTCGGAGAGGCGGATGTTGTCCAAGATAAGGACAATACCTCTCAACCCCTCCATGACATGCTGGCCAGTCACATGCTCACGCTCAGTACAAGACTGAGATTACCCATAATTCACCACTGAACGACACAGGATCTCTTTAATATTCTGGATATTTATAACTGAGCTACTTGTATGTATATTAGAGCTATTTCTTATATCTTGTAAACTTTGTAATATATCTATTTATTTAATTTAGTTCAGTCTGTTAATGTTGTTGTCTTGGAGCAAATGTAGCCACATAATTTTCTTTAAGGATTAATAAAGTATTCTGATTCAGATTGATCGCCTGCAAAGCTAAAAACAAATTACAAAGACAATCTGGAAATATCTATTCAGACGAAGACCAGCTGTAAAAGCAAAATGGCAAAAGGTTTGAACTGCTGAATAATACGCATAATAATTGTTTTTGTCCCACTATTTTCAGGTTCCTGTTTTAAAAATGCATCCTCAGTCCTACAATTATTATGGGACATGTAGTTCAATAATTACAGCTCTCAGAGCAGTTTCTGGTATTAATCCTAAGACTGGTCTTTAACAGCATCATTTAAAGAGAACAAATGATGTGGGGGATACAGCCCTTAAACCATTATCAGGGTAATAAACAAAGGTGCAGGTAACTACAACATCATGACACAATTTGCAACAACATGATGACATTTGTCATTACAAGGTAAATTTTCTAGATAAGATGGATGACAACAAATAATATTAAACTTCAACTGATTAAAAGAAGCTGAAACATGAGGGAGAGATTTATATAAAGCGAGTTTCTAACTGGAGGAAGAATCGCTCAGCTGAACTTGAGTGGAAATCAAAGGTCAGAGCTTTCATGTGGCATTGAGAAAATTACAGCCTCCGGTCTGATTCTGTGAGCACTTTTTTGCATCCACAGCTGCTGGCAGAGCGGCTACGTCACCGCTTCGGTCGTTATTTATCTTTTGTTTGTGCGCTGTTGTCGTGTTTTCAATCTCACGTTCCCTCCTGGACTTGTTTACCTAAAGCTGCTCCTCAAAGCCTCTTCCTCTGGGAACAGGGAAGGAGGAACTTTACGTAACAAGGAGGCAGAGAGGTTAAGCTGCTTACCTGAGCAGTGAGTCATTCTGCACAGACGCGGCGGGCGGTCTGTCGGTCAGCCTCAGTGGCGCAAAATGTGGCGAGGGGGACCGTGCTCCATCGGGCCCGGGAAGAGGCAGAGGGGCCGTGCAGGAGGTGGAGGAAGAGAGAGGGGATGAGGAAGGAGAAGGTGAAGCCGGCTGTTCCTTCACTTCATGTCCTTCGGCTGCTTTGCTCTCGTCTGCACAGGACATCTCTCTGAGGCGAGGGGAGCTGGCCGAGGCGGGGCCAGCAGAGGAGACCTGATCAGCAGCGGCAGTGGAGGTGGCAGCATGGTGCTGGGTGTCAGAGGCAGCGCTGGACAGAGGCTGGACTCCAGCCGGGTCTGCCTGGGCGCCAGCGAGGAATTCCTGGGAGGAGGATGTGGTTTCTAGGCCTAAATGGGGCCTGGGTGGCGGCAGGAGGCTCTGGGTTTGTGGCGGCTGGGCTGGGTGCTTGGAACCAGGGCTGGGGCTGAGGCTGCGAGGGCCGGAGGACAGTGTGGTGTGGGCGGGAATGGCAGCGGGATTTGTTCTTTGGTCAGGGAGCCCTGGGGAGGGGCCCTCGACCAGCTGTGGGCTGTTGTCAGGCTCATAACTCCGACTCTCCGACTTCACTCTAGAGGTCAAAATAAAGACAAACCTCATCATAAGCACCTGAGGAATATCAAACATCACGTGGCTTAAAAATACATCAATTCATTTCATCTCCAACACGATGATTCAGACATTTTCAGTTCACATCTCTCAGGAATGTTAAATATGTGCTGCCTCCTTTTGGTCAGTTCTGGGAAGAAACTGGGCATCAATATGAGGTTTATCAGGACGATTGAACCACATGTCTGAGCAAAAAAACAAGTCTGCAACAATATTTAAAAAAAATAGAGTTTAATACAGTTTATTCTCCTATTTTTAGTTGGATAGATAGATAAATGCCTAAAACAGCTCATTTTCTAAATTAATAATCATGAAGGTCTCCCCCCTGTCTTGTTATGAGCAGACACCTCTCCCACATGGTGATATGAGCCTTGAAAGTTTAACCAAAACACACCTTCTGAAGTTTTCTCCACTGAATTATGAGAAAACAAGTAAAAAAGGGGAACAAACGCTTCACAGACATTAAACTGCTGCAGTTGTGCTGATGAAACTATATATGGAGCTATGGGAAAAAACAGATTTTATCTTTAGATTGTGACACTTGGAGTGGGTGTGAAATTGCCTTCACAATTTCATATGGATTTCTCCTGTACTTATGAAAGTATGCAGGAAAACATCATGTCGATTTTGTATGTAAAGGGCTGATCACTGGGAAAGTATTCACAATATTTCTTAATTAAATATTCTAAAGTTCTCAGCTGGTTAAACAATTCATCAGATCTTATATGGAGCAACTTGTGCAAAATTCATCCCTCTTGGGTGAGGTGTTTCTGGCATATCTGACTGGGACGAGACCCTGGGGCAGGTTTACATCAGGTTACATGGATACAAAGTTCAGAAGAACCTGTTCACCTGGTGCATTTGAGTAATATTACTGATGACTTTGAGGTTCACAGGTGTGGTTTGAGTGAGTCTATTACAGTTCACGACACCCGAACCACGAGTGTGAAAACCAAACACAGAGCTTGGATTACAAGGGAGCTAGTCCACAGTTAGGGGCAGGGAATAATTACAATAACCACTGAAATGTTTCCAGGGCTCCAGCACCAAATCTTAAAGCTTTTATAGGACTCGGACCCTCCAAAACCTGTTCTTCCCGTCTTTCACGTATCAAAAACCAGCATCCTGCAGCTCATCACTGAGCTTAAAAAAGAGCTCTGATGCATATGCTGTTAGATTGCATTGCATGCTTTTTATATTTGCAGATATATTTTCAGGGATTGACAGTTTTAAGGAACATTATTCACATAACAGGCTAAAATATCTAAACATGTTTAGAAGAATATGGTATTATTAGATATCTAACACGTTAATTTTAAACATGTAGGATGTTTTGTTGCTTTTTCCATTTAATATATACAGTTAGATGGGATAAATAAAAGAGTAAATGTGGAAAAATCCAATACAACAAAAGAAAAAAGTGCATATTGTAACACTAGAAAGAAAGAATTTGAGCATCACTTTGGCTTACACCTCTGAGTCAATATTACGCTGAAAGATGAGTTTGAATTTCCCTTTTTTCTTAAAGGTGTTTATATCCCACCTTGCATACCAGGCAGCACATCAACAAAAGGAGTGAATGCTGAGGATTACTGATCATGTATGCAGCAGATAAGTGTTCTTTGTCAGCAGCAGCTTACGGATAAACTGATACCCTCTCCACCCACTGTAAATCCACAGTAGCTTCAGACACGTTTTGTAAATAAGGGTGTAGTTGACGACTGGAGTCTGAGGAGAATCTATTCACCCAAACCTGAGCTTCAATAGCAAAAGATAAAGTTAGAAAAAAAGGTTCTAGTTTGACTGAAAGTGATCACTTCAGCTCAGGAAGCCTGAGAGGAGAAACTGAGAGCAGTTCTTTCTGCACTGAAATGTCACAGACTGGATAAATTCCACGTTTATATGAAACTAAACAGATATTTCTTCCTGTCAAATGTCCCACTGCAAAGTAATGAGTATTCCTCTAAACACATTATAGGAGTTGGTGAACATAGAAGAAATGTTTAGAAAAGTCTGCAGCCACCCCTTATTCATTTGCATTTGGATTTAAATAAGCCAGGCTTTTTGTAATTTTTAAAAGTGGTCTTCTTGTGGTCTGAAGGTCAGTCAAAGTTTTTCTTTGGACATTGGCTTTCAAGAAGCCATTCTCAAAGAAACGAAACAGGGAGAAAAAGCTGAGGTATGCACAATTGCTCAAGAACTGCACTGAAAATCAGTCGGAACAGGTCTAATGGAGTGATGAATCCAAATTGGACATGTTTTGGTCCAAATGTCGTCAGTGTGACACAACAGTGTCTACTCACTATTGTTGGAGAACTTGGCAAAATTGATGAATTATGAACACAGAAAAGTACCATCAGATTTTGATCCACCATGCAATACCATCTGGAAAACATCTGATTAACAACAGCTTTATTTTCAAGCATGTGAATAATCCCAAACACACTGCTAATGCAGTAAAAGCATACGTGGATAGAAAAACACACAGTGGAACACCATCAGTCATGGATCGGCCTCCCCAGAGCCCGGACCTCAGCATTACTGAAGCAGTGTGGGATCATGTGGACAGAGAACAGAACAAAAGGCAGAAACATCCAAAGAAGAGCTTTGAATGTCCTTCAAGAAGCCTGGAGAACTATTCCTGAAGACTACTTGAAGAAATGAAAATAATATTTTGTTTTGGCTTAATCTGCAGTTCACACATGCTTCACTAAATTGCTGTACATAGCTTCCATTTTTCTAGCAAAATATAAAGAAATGAGAGGTGTCTCAAGACCTACACAGTACTCTAACTGTAGACGCAGTGAATGATTCGTGAATAGAACCCAGTGCTGTTTTTTGTATATTAGTGGTACATTAGTATATTAATCTGTAAATTAGTAGTCCAATCAAAAGTTAATCTTACCTGGTAGCTAAACTGCCCTTTTGGGCCTGAGTGTCTCTCCAAGAAGAAGGAATTTTCTGCAATAAGAAGGTGAAGTTTAGTGTGCCATTCATTGAAAACATCAGCATCAGTTTGCTCATTTAAATACTTAGTACACTTTAGGGTATTTGTTGTGCATATTTTTACTTCTCAAGAGTAGTGTCATAAAGGCTTCTTATAACTGTGACTCCATTTTTCCCTTATCTTAAATAGGACTCTTTAGTTGCCCAAACCTAACCAACAACCAAATATGCTTTACAACTTAAGGTTATCTTCCAACCTACTTTTGTACTTTTTTGTTGTTTGGTGGTCTAGAATATAAAAGCCATCCTAATCTTGTTCACCTGTGTATAGAAGTCTGCAGAAGGCGAAGATCTGGATCTCTCATGGATGCAGATGGCCTTCTCTTCTGCACCTGCATCTAAGATATTCTCCGCTGAGTGATACCGCCCTTGCGTCTTGCCTTCCGATGACTTCTTCTGCTTGTTCCATGTGGCCTGATACTCAGCAAATGTTCCGAGCCTCTGCTGCTCTAGTAAGACTTCGTTATGTCCAGGGTTGAGGTGGTTGGGGTCTGTGGATGGAGGAGGCTCAACAGACCCTATAGAAGGTGCTCTCTCTTTGGGTTTGCCCGACTCATCCAGGTCTGTGTTCGAGTTTGCACTCTGACTTGACTTCAGTACAGGCCTGGAAAAGGCTGGTTTCGCCTCAAAGAACTTCCTCCGCTCCCCAAATGAGCCTGCTTGGGATTCTCCTTCCACTCCCACTTTGTCTATTTTGTCAGGCTCTGAAAACGAGTGCGTCCTCTTTGCCAGTTGACATCGCTTACGTCCTCTAGTGCGCCCATTTGAGGTTTTAAGCACAGAGGCCTCTGGTCCCTGGGGTTCTAGGTCTCGTCTCTGGAAGGAAGTGGCCTGGAGGACCCTGGCCTGCGCCTCTTTCAGGTGGTCCTTGTAAGTATTTGAATAGGAAGCAGCAGAAGATGCAGAAGCTTCCATAGATCTCCATTCCTCTGCATCCTCATCCTCTGCATCACAAGTCAGAGTTGCAGCACTGCGGCTCTTTTGCAGCTGGGCTCGCTTCTGCTGGATCTCTTTCCGAAGGGTGGTGGCATAACGGTCACTGCGGCGATTTGCTTTTCCACTGCTAGCAGCCATGGTGTCACTGGTGTCCTGGGTGGACAAGACAGTTGTGGTTGTTGCTGCCAGAGTCTTGTTTTCCAGAGTCAGGGAGTGGAGGAGTGGAGTTTTCAGGGCGGTGATTCGTTGGTCTTCTTGAGGGACCCATGGGTCTTGATGTCTTGGAAGATTAGCCTTGTGATCTTTGACTTGATGTACTGGAAACTGTATTTTCATGTCATTAGTGTGACCTTCACCTCTCTTTGCAGTATCCTCTGGACTACATCTTTGAACAGAAATTTCAGAGGTCTGGTGGTTGTAGTGAAGTCCATTCCCAAAGTGGGAATGGGTATGGCATTCCTTATTTTCAATATAAGGTATTTGGGACTGTGGCAGTGAGTACTTTGCCTTAGTGTTAGTCTTCAGAGAACTTGGGTACCCTGTTTCATTGCTGTTCACCCAGTGGTGTTTCTCTGTTTCTGTCATCCGGCTTTCAGTTTTGCCCTGCCTAGCCTTGTACTGCGCAGTCTTACTTGCAAGACCGTAGTATCTCTTATGCCCTCCACTCTCCAGGTTTGGGTTTGTAGCAGTGCTTACCATGGATGCTGCAGAGTGCGGCATCTGCCTGCGGCTGAAAGCATTTGTGGGCAGATCCTGGAGGCTGCGGTAGTAGCTTCCTACACTTTGAGTCTTGGTGGGAGGAGCCTTTCCAGTCTGCAGGAAGTAGAAGGGACTTTCATCACTGAACTGCCTCTGGTGGGCAGGTGGTTGGGTGTAATGAAACTGTCTGACATCACTGCTGGACAAAGAGAAGTGTTTGTTGGGGTTGAGCTGGTTGTGGTTGTAATCAGCCGGCATGTTTGGATGGAGGAAGTCTTTGGCAGGTATTGGGTTGAAGCTACGTCTGGTTTCTGAGGATTTCTCCTGATGGGATCTGATGCCATTGTGGTGGTTACTTTCTGGCAGTTTTTCAAATGATGTGCCGTGGCTTTTTGCTGGACCTTCAGAGTATGGAAACACCTTTGTAGCTGCAAAACTGTCACTACGCAGGGGAGGAGGTGGCGGAGGAGGAGACTGAGACTTTTTCCTGTCTGGTACCTGCCACACTGGGCCTACGTTGGGTCTCCCTGCAATGGAAACACGAGATGCTGGCTGCTCCTTCCAGCCTCCGTTCCCCAGTGTTGGCTGCAGATATCTGGGCCGCTCATTCTGCTGAGGTCCTTCATTATGAACACCCTTGAAGAAAATGCTTTCAGTGCTTGTTCCCTTTCTACCAGATGCATTAAGGTCATGAACAGGGGGGCTGGAGCCACTTGAGAAGCAGCTAAACCCAGAGTCCCTCTTGCCTGGTCCCAGTCCACAGATTGGCTCAGCACTGCTGGTGTATTTATTTGGGGAAAGACGACCTGCTGGGTAGGGATGTGAGGGACGCTCAAGTTTCTCCATGTTTTTCACTGAGCTGATCTGACTGGTTTGCTGATGCTGAATGTTCTGATCTCCTTGAGTGGACGACTCTTTGGGCCTGGAGGGGATGATAAGAAAAAAATATTGTGATCTGTCTACTAAAGACAAGGTAAACCACCAAAAAAGCTCACCTTGCTTCATGCTTTGGCTGCCAGACTGGGGCTTGGGTAGCCTCTCTCTCAGGAGGCTCCTCCTCTGTCAGCTTCGAGGCATACCAGGAATGAGGACGTGAGCCTGGGTCATTCTTCCTGCAAAGCAGAAGCACAGCAAACAATTTCTCAATACTCTTTCTCAAATTCTTTCATAGAAGACAAGAGTTCACAGAGTTCTACAGGTTAACATTTCTTCATGGGCTTTGCAGGCCACCATCATCCAAATCCTTCCCCCTGATACCACTGTGTATTCAATCGTTTCAGGACAATAGAGTATTTTAAACAGTGTAAATAGTCTTATTACTCCAATCCACAGAAATGCAAGGAAAAACAAACAAAACAACCCATGATCATTAGATAAAATTTATGGCACCATTACACAAATATTTACAAAGAACTGGTAAGAATTATATAGCTACACTGTCCAAAAACACTAAAATTAATAACTGTAGTTGTAGCAGACTTGTGACCTGGCAGCGTTTGCTCTGGACCCACGTTTTAATCATTTTTTTGAATGAGTTCCTCTTTCAGTGACACTTTTTGACAGCTAAAATCGTCAGCAGAATCTAATCTCACAGCACCATATATGATTTAGCGGTCGGATGCCTGATAGCGAGTAGTGGGATGTTATTCAATGATGGCTGGCAACCAGTTTTGTTGGTTGTAGTTGCACTCTCTGGAAGTACTAGCATTTTACATCTTAACAGGCGATAGCAAAACCAGGGGAAAATATATATTTCTAGAGAAAATATACTTACATATTGTTTAATATTTGCTATAACTTAACACTGAAGTGACCAAGCTATTGTGTTGACTATAATGACTGAGTGGGGTCTTAATATTTTAATAGCTCTGTTGTCTTTCTCATATCTCTATGAGAGATATTCAAAAATGTAATGTTATTAACTATACTTTTAAATGAAAACTGGCAGCTTGCACATCTGGAAAGCCACCAGCAGTGCTAAAAGGTATCTACAAGTTTTAGAGCAACATATGCCTGACGTCTTTTTCAGGGAAGGCCTTGCATATCAAGGACAAAAGTCCAGAAGTAGGTCTCCTCAATTCCCAGATGTTTGTAGACTGGTTAAAAAAAGAGAGGATGCTACACAGTGGTAAACATGACCCCGTCCGATGTTTGTTGAAACGTGTCGCTGCCATCAGATTCAGTACGAGCTAATATTTTTCCTAAAATACATTTTCTACAATAAAATAAAAAAAACCTGCTATGTTTCATTTCTATTGTCCATACTAATTAATAGGAAAAGCTATGAAAAGTAGAAGCAGATTGACAAACACATGATGGGAAACATTTTCATAATTAACAATATCACAACAACACCTAGAATGACAGGGCACTCAGTGACTTGAAGTTTAATGAATATTTGAATAATTAAAAGTCATGATCATTCCTAATATTCAGATATGCTGTTTGTTTAAACTGCAAAGAGCAACTTTTGCAGATGAAAAAATTTATTATTTTTTAGTAACACATTTGTGATCTCGAATAACAACTAATTATTTGTTTGGGGGGGGG